GTTCTGTTAAAAAACAATAATACAAGATAAATTAACGTCCACGTGGCCATCATTGCAAGCGGGTCCTCTATACTAACATTTTACGTTAATGAGGGAGCCGGTAGCATTGAGTTACACCAAGCAGTTGTATTTGTGCACCATGTGATGGCCTACGTAGACGTTGTGACGATAGATCAACCTGCGCATGAAATCCACCTGTTACAATTTTTTCTCCTCACTTATGCAATTCATATGGTGCCATTCATGACGCCGTGTCATACATGTTATGACAGGCTATTTTTACTGCATTTTTTCTTGCATAGATTCACGTTACGTTATATATACAAACCAAACGGCCGTGATAGCTTCATGACATATCCATCATGTTATTTTTGCTATTCGTTGCTTGATATACACGACACGCATCTCAATAAAACTTTGCACTGGGCGAGCTTGTGTTTACCCGTAACAGACAATGGTCATGCACAAACTAAGCAATGACGAAGAAGAGGCGGACGAGTGCGAAATGTTTGCGGTCATCCGTGTCTTCTTTGACCTTGTCAAGTTTGCGCGCTACCATTTGCTGCCACGTCAATTTTGGTACATACAAAGTTGATCAAGTGATGGCGAGAACGCGATAGGACAGGTGGGTGGATAGATACGTGTATAATCAAAGAGTAATCTGTAAACCAGGATTGAAATAGTTCGCATTTATTTATTCCCGTTTAAGGAGGTTTCATTTAACTTTCACTAAGAACATGGCAATCTTCCTCAAGCACAAACCCTTCGTACTTTTTGTAGATTCTTTGAGGCACAAACCATTTTAATTACGAAATTATTTTGATTTATGCGTCAAGTGCTTCGTCTTAGGAGATAACGTAAGACAAAAGGAAGAAACTGCTCAATTTCTTGTAATTATTAGTAAATCGTGGCGACTGTAATTGTGAACCTTGGATCTTACGGATATACGCGCACGTGACGCTCTGCGCTTACGAACTTATCACCACTTTTGCGAAACGAACGAGTCCTTTTAGTTTTGGGAGTCTTAATTTGACTGGCATGAGGCTCAGATAGCGGGGATTAAAAATAAATGAAAAAAGGGGAGTTGGGAGAAGGGGGCATTACGATGATGCTTGTCAACTTTGGCACCGTTGACCGTCATTAATAGTGGATTAATGCTGCCGCTCTGTCAGGGCTTACGTTTTTTGTGTTTCTTGGAATTCTACTGAGTTCCTCTTTTCTTTATTTCGCTCTTTTCAATAAAGGCTCACGAAAGCTTTCTTGTTGTTTCTTTGCTTTTGCCCTCGTCAACTTTTCTCATTTGTAATCGACTACAACAATCAGGAGTCAAGTTTTTCTTTTAGTTTTCTGGTTATTTGTAGTTATATGTAGACTTCTGGTTAAAAGTTCCCAGGCCACGCTTCCATAAAACCGCAAATATACATGAAATAGTGGCTTGTGACCTTTTGACTCCCCCACCCCTTTACCTCTTAAAACTGCTTGTTTAGCACATTCATACTTTTTGTATCTGTGATTGGTTTGTCTTGTTGCTTATAATGCGACTATTTCCCCTGCATGAGCTTTTCGGCTGTGGCCGCGAATGTAATCCTGCTAGTGCAGCTCATTGTGTTACGAATTTACCGCACGTGCACGCTAAGGACAATCGACCGAAAATCTGGCAGCGGCAGATTTCCTGGCATAGGTCCCTGTTCTAACAGTATAAACAAGAAAGCGAAATCAATAAAGAAAGGACGCAGTAAGTAAATAGCAAGTTTTACTTCTTCTGAGGCTTTCTTATTAGTTATATAACATTATTATTACATTTTATGAAGTCTCCATGCGTCTTAATCGACGCGCGGACGTATTAGCAGCGGGTATTAATTAAATTTTGGGGGGCAACCCAGCCGCACAACTTCACTCTGCAGTTTGCGGTTCCATAGTTTCTGTGTAATGTTTTTAGTGTTAGCTGATGTCGAGATTCTGGAACTATTCATTCAGCGTGACAAGCGCTCTACTTTGACGCAAGCTGTACGCACAATATTAACTCGAGCTTCTTTTTTTCTAGCACCATGACTCACCTTCGCTGCACTGTGCCCAAGCTGCTGACCTGTGAATGACAGGCCCGTCAAACTATGTCACCGTGCCCTTATGCGAGGCAACTGGCGAGCGAAGAGGCTGCAGCGCATCAGTACGCCTATCATAAGGTTCTCGATCAAAGCTTGGATCCACGCTTTTGCGGCAGCCACAACGCGGGACGAATACCACCGTAATTCCTGTACTCTAACACTTATCAATGATTTTTTTTAGATTAACCAGGATTTTCGCGGCACAGGGAGGCATGGAGCTGAACCATGCACTTGTGCGAGACCGGGGTAGATAGAGCTGAATCCAAGCTACTAACCATCAGTTAACGCTTACCGCCACGAGACTAGATTGATGAGATAACACAGTACAAAGAACCAGGATAACTACTTCTTGCCCATAGCTCCGTCAATATGTGCCTCAGATTCTGCTGCAAATTATTTGATATAGTTGCGGCCTCAGCCACCACACCAGTCGAAAATACCGTTTCATATCATTTAAACGGTATAGCTTCCGTCACTCGGCGTTAAAATTTACTCATTCTTGGCTGATGCCCAATATGCACTCGAAGGCGACGTCACGCATCAATGGCATGACGCAATAATTCAGCAAAGCCGACATCCCATTTCCTCTATATTTTCTCTTCGCAGCACTCAATATGGTTACGTTACGTCGGAGACAGTGCCAAACACATGTTATTAAAGTCGAGTGTAGCCTAAAGTAACCAATCTATATACTCTTAATTCACGCGCCATCTCCGTCCCTGCAAGTCCAGACGCGCGACAACACCGTTGCACACTAGGTGCAGTTTTAACATGCCTACTATTTTAAACTTGCATTGCAGCATTCAAAAAGGAACGGTGCTGTTTCTTCGTTGAAATAAAGCAATATGAAGTAAGTTTACAACGTGATTTGTTTCATTTCGAGACATGTACATTTTACTTGTTTAGAGGCATTTATGCGGCGTACGGATCATATAGTTTATAATTGAGGCGAAAATGAACTTTTGGGACAGTGTATATATCCTAATAATTAAAACAGCGCGAAAAATAAAGGAGTCAGCAAAATGACGCAGAACACAGCGCTTACTCGCACCAAGCTTCATTCATCACTATCCCTAAATATAAACTTGGCAGCTACACCATCGAGGTGCACAGAAAACAACGTTTGCTCACGCAACCCATCTACAAAACTGCATTCTCCGATTTTGCGCCATATGTCGTCTTGTTTTAATCGTCAAATGTCAGTGTTTTTTCATGCGCAATCTTCATCGCTGTTAAGCCGTGAGAACGTGCAAATGTTTTCGTTTATGAGTTGGCTTCACTAAGACAAGCAGTGTGAAAAGGCCCACTTGCAAAAACCAAGCTTCTATCATTTTTTAAAGTCGGCTGCACTTTTAACCACGACTGAATTACAAAGAAGAGAACTTGCTATTGTCAATATAAGCCATCTTAAATCACAAAGTGAGGTCCATAGGATCTGTTTATAACATTTTAAGAGCGGAGAGAACCTCATGGATCTGCGTGGTCGCATGATATCATCTGTCATTTACTGTTATCTCACGTCGTCGGTATTGGTATCGTTACGCAGTTGTAAAAACTCGTTTTATAAAACAAATGTGGCTGCTTAACGTATGACTGTGCGTGAATTTGTACATATCTACAGCGCCACTTCGTAAAGTTTCGCTGAATAAAACACTTATCAACACAGTCACCTTCTATTTGTATGCTCCGCATAACATCGACTCCCAAGAATCGTGGAATATACTGAGTTTTTTTTTTTTTTTTTTTTGCTCCGGAGAACGTATGTATCTCACAAGAGCACGTCCAGTGTGCATGACTACTGCCACTTCAGAGAGCCCGAAAAAACAAGCAACCTGCCCTTGGACTGGGAAAATGCGCGGACTTCTTGCCCAAGGTAGATTTACTGGTAAAGTTGTTCAGCGAGTAGGTTGTTATTGAAGTTACAGAGTAAAATTTAATATTTTGATGACGATTCGGTCAGGATTGCTGATATAAAAAAACCAGCCAATCGAAATATGTGTGTTAATTGCACCAGTTAAAGAAGGCACGTACGTCACGCGTAGAGGAATTTCTTGATTCATTTACTAGTTTTCCACAGGCAGGGTTAACTTTGTAATTTCAGTGCTCGGCGATTGTAAGGTCTGTTGGTTGCTTTATACATTATGAGTTTTCTATCAAACATCTGTAAACTTAGCGTCACGTAGATAATCAGTTAGAAGGCGTGAAATTTTCTTGCTCTCCTTTGCGGTACACTATCCACTGAACAGATGCATTTACATTTTTCAGGCTGTCTACAGCTTATTTTTTTCTATCGGCCGGACCAAATGAAGTGTTTCTATGTCACAATTTTTGCACACTTTTGTACAGTTCATGAGCAGCTCGTCCACTTTTGGATGCCAGTGTTTTGGTGCATGATGATGCTGTTCTTACTCGACAAAGTAAAGGTGTTTCCGACAAATGCGAAACCACTTACCTTCTTCACCCTGTGTACCTGGACAACGAGCGACCTTCGTTCACAGGCCCAGCCATGAGCCGTTTCATTTAATGAGTACGCTAACGTTTAGATACTAAGAAGGAGGGCCGCGCTCCCGAATTTCTTCAGGTCGGAACTGTTCCTAATGAAACGGTCACAGTGTGCTTGCGCTTGACCAGTTGCACCCTGATTTCACTCCCATGTAATGAAGGGAGTGGCCATATCGTTGCATTCTCCTTATATCAAAAGCACAAAACTTGCCATGCACTTGAGGTATTACTTGTATTACTCACTGCCATTTTAAGCAGTTCTGTGCTCAGACCAACATCGTCTCCATAATTTGTATTGCCATATATTCGTATCTGCAAATGTCTTTGTCTCAAAAAAACATGTCAAATTTGCCAGAGACAACGATGAAGGCGAAATTAATAAGAGACAATATATTTTGTAACAGTTATTGGCATTAGCTTTATTCGTTGTACACACTGGATCAGCGTTGAGACACAAAACACGAGCCTCTTAATGGGGGGGGGGGGGGGAGGTAAGGGGAGTACACGCCGTCTGTTATGGTTTGGCACGTAATAGACAGCGTGACGGAGTAAGCAGACGCATTTAAGTATTTTGCCTTGTGATGCTGACTTCTCAACGACTTGATACAATGGTTGCTGTAGTACAATAAATGATGCCTACAACAATAAGTAACAAATAAGACGACTAGAACTTCCAATGGGCAGGTGACCCAGCGAAAAAAACGATAACAATAAAATGCAGCACACCAGACATTAGCGGAGAAGAAAGGCAGGAACGAGTGTATAGGTGAAACGCGACGAATATAGCGTGTAATGATTAAGTATGTTTTACTTTAGAGAGCTGGTTAGCGCTTATATAGTTGCTTCGTCTCGCTGAACCTTACAAAATCGCACTTGTTTTATATTTCACGCCTAATCACTCACGGATTTTTTTGCTTTTTTTATTCAAGCTTTGTTCGTCTCCTGATGTTGATTAGATAAGTGTTTGGGCCACTGACAGCGCCAACCTTGTGCAGATGCGAAAGAGGCTAGCGTCATGCATGTGTCTCCTCATTGAAATGTATTTTTTTTTTACGCTTGCACTGAAGCTTTACCTGGTAAGAAGCTAATTACTCACCAACAAGGCGGTTTATTGCTTTCTTTTCCCTCTGTGACAGACATAACCTTGACGTAAACTGATGCACTGTCCCCAAGGCTCTTCTGTCTATCCCGCAGCTTGATGCTACCAGAAAACATGCCATAATCAAGAGATCAAAAACTATTTTGTCATGTTGAAGTTAGCGTGTCATCCTGTGAAGAAATCACTGTCTCATGAAGTTTTTTTGTCGTTTCTCGTGACCTTGGCTGTTTTCTTCCCCGGCTGTTTTTTCACAGGTTCTTGCCACCCAGAGGCATGTCTTCACATAGCGAGGCAGAAGCCAGCGAAGAACATCGCTCTCTTCATCGTCTATTTGCCATATCAAAGAACACAAAAATATATCACTTATGCACTTTGTATAACGTAATAAAGTTTTGTGCATTACAGATAATATTTTCATTACAGCGCGTATATCGCTACCATAAAGAAATGTCCGATTGAGTAGTGTTTCTATATTCTTTCGCAAACATAATGTATCGACTGAACAATTATATTAAAAGCAAGCTTATGCTTTCGGTTAAGTTCCGTACTCATCTTTAAAATCAAAGGAGAGCAAGAGGGAAATATGGCAACAAGTAAAACAACAAAAATAAGAAAAACAGATTTGAGCCCCAGTGAGAAGCAGCTCCCAGCAAAACTAATAACCACAAAGTCCAGCAGCCGACAAGACGATTGCAGTGGGCGCCTTTCCATCCGCTCGAGCTGCTTCAATTTCCCGCCGAGCCGTTTTTATGAAACCTTTCCTTCTAGTTCTGCTCTTTTTGTCCGTAGAATCGGCTTCATGCAGTTATGTAATGCTGGCTATCGATGACCTTCTTGTTTTCCTTCTGTTCATCTCTTTAGCTGAAGCTCGATGAATCAAAATGCCCCTGCGAATGCCCCATAGGCGCTGAGTCCATCTTCTTGCCCAAGAGGCTGGCTTAGCGGGCGTGCGCCTTGCAGAAGGGTCGTCCTCCTTTGGCAAAGAAACTTTGCCCCTCCAGGTTTTTCTGGCAAATCTGTGGAAGGCAAGCGACAAAGAATAATCAATTAGATGGGCGGAAGTGCACGGTGTCAGTAATGCTTTGGCATTAAATATGCCGGTATCTGTGAATTACGGGAATTTTCACGTTCCCAATGGTTTAGCAGTTAACATGGTGAAATTGACAGGTGGTCTAAATGGCTCTCGATTACAGAAGAACAGTGAGAGAAGACGGATATAGTCACAAGCCCATACATGATATTGCACTGCCCTTTCTATATCGTCATTACGTCTAGAAATCAGCCAGTCAGTCAGTCAACAAACTTTCGTAGGTCCTAAAAAACTACCTAGTCGTGGTTGCAGGCCGGGCCCACGTTGAGGCTGGAAGACCTTGGTCCTCAGCCCATTCACAGGCCTTTTGTACAGCCCTTAGTTGCTCCTGGGAATCACCACTTCTGAGGGCTTTTTAACACGAAAGTGTTTTATGCCGGGGACCACCGAGACATTATTGACATATTTGCGTCTCGGTATACTGTTATAAAATTAACGCTACCAAACGAGAAAAAAAGACATTAAAAAATTCCCCACCGGGTGTCGAACCCCTGACTCCTTAACATGCGACGAATAACGCCCGGTGCTCTACCGGATGTAGTATCGCGACAGTTGCGGAGGTCTATACAAACTAGCCTTAAATCTTTCTGTCAGTCTTTCTCGCACGGTGCTCTCTGTGGGCAAGACGGGGTAGTGGCACCGTCTGTGAGCGGTGAAGAGAAGTAATGCGGCAGGACAATTACTATCACCGATAGATAACAATTCGTCGATGAAGCAGTTAAGCATGGCGTTCGAGAACGCTTCTCTATAATAGTGAAAACCCCTGGCCGCGCTCGCACTGAGAAGTCGCTTACGCAGTAATGTTATTTGCCTTTCGCTTCATGTTTGCGTGTAGAAGCTCGTTGTCAGGTTCGTGGAGCTTCCACATGCACCAATGGTGTTTCGCTTCCTAGTACTTCGAGTGCGATAGTAATGACAAATTAAACTGCCGCAGTAAGCACCGCAGCTAGGCGATAGCGTCGACGGTTGCATGTCGTTCCTTGGTAGAGTCAGACAGAGGCCAGCGGAACGCGGGACGCCTGTGCGCGTTCGCGGGTCAAGCTACGATCATCGACTCCCGCGTTGCTGAAGCGCAATGTAGGAGTGCGTGCATGGTCACACGCGTCAGTTACCCTATCTCTCAGGAGAAAGCACCATGCCGTCTCTCTTCTTTATTGGCGACGCTTTGAAGAAGCATACATATTGAGTACCAGTTTATTATGCGCTTGTTAGTGTCACCTTTGAGCGAGAGTTTTTTAACATATACCTGGATAGGCTGTATCCAGGTATATGTTAAATAATTCAGCTACCACAATCATTAAATCATGATCATTGGTGGTAGTCATCGCGATGTAGACGTGCCAAGTTAGGTGTCAATGTGGTGTCCATGTGAAATGGTGCTATAGCTGCCCAACATCAATGGACATTGTACCAGCTTTCATACACAACTACACAATAAGCACTACTTCTAAGTTGACACGTTTCACTTTCGTGTTACTCCTCCACCGATTCCTAAGACAGCCTTGAAAATGAAATAATTTTGTGCTATACTTTTAAATATTACAACGATAACTTGGTAGTATTTTATATCCTTGCCAATCATATTTACTTTATGCGTGAGAGTCATTCCTTAGTGACATGTACGTAGCGACTGGTCTCTGAGCCTCCAAAATTCTTAGTTGACATGCGGCACTACTCGAGTTTCCAGCTTTAAGAGGCACCTGACAATGTCCGTTTTGTTTTAATTTCTGTGTCGGTGCCCGCATACGTTGGCCACACTTATTAAAAGTGTGTCATTGCTTTGCTCTGGAAAAACAATTACCCCAAACAAAATTATTTAAAGAAATGTGTGCAGAAGAGTGCGGAAATTAGAGACTTTCTTCATAGCTGGTAGAAACTGCATTATCGAGACGGCTGGCTTAGTTTTTTCGGTCAAAACAACTCTGTTTTCTGCGTCTACTCTTTTCCAGAAGTACTCGTGCACTAAATTACGCCATTAACCTCAGTCGTATCACGCCCGTTACTGACCGTGCACTTGAAGCACTGGGAGTGGTAGTTGTTATTCAGTGCCTCAACCCAGCGATCTCCGGCCTCGATCGGAAATCCACAGCCTACGCACTTGGTGGTGAAGAGCTCGTTCCAGTCTGCAATTCGAGAATCAAAATTAAATTTTCGGATTAAGTGGGGGTCAATTATATGACCGATATGCGTCGTCAGTTTCACTTCACTCGATGATACCATAAATTGCGCTTGACCTATTTTGCCACAATGCATGTAGGGGGAAATCAGGCTGAAGTACACTGATAAACATTATAAAAGTTTGCAAAAAGTAGTTTTCACAAACAAAATGGGAGTTCGTGAATGAATCGGCACAGGGTGACTACAGGACACAGCAGGATTGTTAGCCGTTGCTGACCTGGTGTGAGCTTCGCAGGTTGGTTGGCCTGCTCTTATTTGTTGCCGCGTGGAAGTCCTGGTCTCGCAACGAAAAAATGTTTCTTCCTTTTCTTTACGAAGTCATCCAACATGCTTTCAGGGCTTCGTGAATATATGCGGAGAGACTGAGCATACGATTTATACGCTCGGAAAATGATTTCAGAAGATGTAATTCTAACGGTTCCGTAAACGAATTGGTGGCGTATGATGGTGCAAAATTTTTTTTCTAGTAGTACCAGAATTTACAAGTAGTGAGTCAACTATAACTTAACATAATTAGGTGTGGGTACTAGTTTTAGCACTGAGTAATTCAGTGACAGTGAGTAATTGCTCGGACAATGTATGTATAATTCCTATTGATTAGGTATCTTCACACGCGCTTTGAGATTGAGAGCAAGCATTAAAGTTTAAGGACATGTTTTTTTATTTTTCCCTTTTTTTGAGATTAGAAAACAGTTTGCAAGAAAATGATTCAGAATGTCGGTAGAAATTTGTTGGTTTCGTAAGGAAATGGCTAGTTAATTTCTGCGCAGGGCACATCGAAGTGTACGGAAACCTTCACGGCTGTTTCTAAATGCACAGATGAGATTGCGCGTACGACGCGTGTAGTTGAGTTCATTTTGGAAGTGACAAAAGTACCAGCAATGCCGGTGGAATGTTGGATAATTCATGTCTGAAAGACGACAATCAGATTATCAGCGAATGACTGCCGTGCTTGTGTTCTTTTTTTTTCGGCACAACTTTGCCCAATACATAACTCAATCTTTATCGATCAGTTTCACCGATTGTTTCTGCGCTCTAGCAAGCACGTGACAATATTATGATATTAGCAAGGACAGAAGGAAGAAAAATGGGCTACAATGACCTAACATTGCACGTGGCTTGTGACGCACTTCACTGTCCATGCTTCGCACTACCATTTGGCAGCACGAGGTCCTTAGTTGCACCCAAGACTAACAACGTTACTCGGCGTTGCATCAACCGAGAGGCAGAAGCTGGGTATCAAATCGGCAATGTCAAGCTCCCAAGCAGAACTCACAGTGGCCGAGCCACTGCGGTAGTTGACAAATTTATTATTGTAATGTTACCATAATAAGATTATCTTTGTTAGTAGATAAAAGAATAGAATCAACTGGGAAACACGTACCGTAACACATGACTGAAAACTATAGTAGATTGGTCAATCAGATATAGGGATCAATGTCTTTATATTGTATTAGCTTGAAAGAATGTTCGAGGGGCAACCGAGATACTCGACCTTTCTCGCAGTAGGGCATTCCGTCTTCGAGGTAGAATGAGCTGTTTCCGAAAGCCGTCTTGCAGTACGTGCAGACGAAACATTCAGGGTGCCAGGTCTGCTCAAGGGCATTCAGACAATCCTGCGAAGAAAAATTAAAACAAATGAAGAATGTTTTATAACGCGTGAAGCTTTTAAGACAAGAAATCAAGTCACGGTGAGAGGCTCTACCAAAAAAACAAACCATGTCACCTTAGAATAGACCCGCAAAGTTCAGGGGCCCAAGTTTAAAAAGTTTCTTTCTTTTTCGTTGGTACGGGTTCTGTCTTACTGGAAGGCGGCCGTCACGTTAATAAATTGACCAAAATCAGGTATTACTGAAACTTTGTCTTACACTAAAATGTTTACGTAGAAGCTTTATTTGTTAAAAAGAACCCAGGTACTTCTCTCCTTTATATTGAGCCTCGCCTCGTACCCCGACATTCTCCGACTAACACAGCATTAATAAAGAAGCTTCAGCGACGTTTGTAGACCCTTAATGCACACTCTACGAGGGAAACTTCTCAATTACAAAAATAATTGACTTCACAGGTGATAAAGGGCTTTCATATGCTATATATAGAATTTCCAGGCTGGTTTAGTTCAATGTAGAAGGCATATTCTTACGCCTTTGATGCGATGTCCACACTTCCTGCAGATGGGGGCCATGTAGCATTCGTAGCAGTGTTCGCAGTACAACTTTCCCTGCTCCTCGACGAAGCCAATGTCCTGGAGCGACTTGCGGCAGCTACCATTGGAGCACAAGAAGTGATCTGGGCACCAGTTGCGTCCGAGCGCTGTCACAAACGGACCTCTGCAAAGCGAAATGGTGGTGGTCAGTGTGCATGCTTCGTTTTTTGCCAATGCGAACCTACCTGCATACCATACGAGATCAAATAATTGAAAAGCATTAGTGACTTTCGGTTATTCTTTGTATCTTCGTTTGTTAGTTTAGACACTTGCGATGTCAGGACCTTTTGCTTCATACTACATTGAATATTGTGGCGTAGCCATAGCGAGCATACTTTTTCGGAGCCCCCATATCACTGAGGTAAAAACGCAGAAGTGAATAAAGAAACGAGTTGTTGGACACTCCTTCACACATCCTTTCAGATCAAAAAGGTCATGACGACCATGAGTACAATGGTAAATACAACAAAACTATTTTGTTAACCATATTACACGCCGAATTGAATCTGTCATCAACTGCGACCTACCAAGGTATAGAACGATCTTAGATAACCTCGCCCCTCAGTGACCAATGTGCTTTGATATTGCTGCACTGCACACCTGACGAATCCTGAAAATATCAGCTGAGGACAGCACTACAATAGTAAAAATGTTTGGTTTGAGACATTTTTAATATCTGGGGTTTGGCGTCCCAAAACCATGATCTAATTATGAGACGACGTACGAGAGGGCTCCGAAAATTTCAACCATCTGGTCGTCTTTAAGTGCGCTGACATCACACAATACACGGGGGGCCTCTACGATTTTGCTTTTACCGAAATCCTAAAGCCGAGGCCCGATCGAATACGCGAACTTTGGGTCAGCAGACGAGCGTCATAATTACAGCTCCACCGCTGTTCATTGGGTTCATACATAACGTAGCGGTGTAGCTCCTACGTAAGATATCACTGCACAAGAAAGACTCAAAATCCAATCGATGAAAGAATGAAATTCTTGAGAAATCGCTTTTGGTTTGATACAACCCTCATGAAAACAAGCAGATAATGAAGGCCAGAAAAGTATAGGATGCGTTAATTGTATTTTTATAGATGTAGTATAGAGTAGTTAAGATATAGATGGACGGACAGTGAAGTGGACTGAAAGAAAACTGGCCGTCTACAGGGACCTAGCCTGCAATTTCAGATAGTAAAAGGCGGGACATTTAAAATCTTGAAAGTATTGTGTCGGGTTTACTGTCGCACATCAACATCGATAAAGGCGATTGTGTGCGTTTGTGTGCGCTTGAGGATGAGAAAGAAGGATATAGAGAAACATTGCTTTCCCGCCTGGCAGCTTCTGTAGAGCCCGGGTATCATATAGTTCCTCTGCGTCATACCCTGCTATAATTTTCTTCTTTTCCTTAATCTTCGGAGTTTATCTTATCGCGCTGAACAGCAACGGACAAATAAACGTGTCTCTATCGTACCAACCTACCTTAAAGCACACTGAATCTCTCATTCACCACACACGTCCAACATGCGTTCCTCGGGTCCATGAAGTGCGCAAAATGCGTACCTGATGGGCGATCCGCAGCTGGAGCAGATGGGTATCTTGCCCCCGATGGCCTGCGTCAGCTTTCCACGGCCTCTCTTGGGCGCCGGCCTGGACCCCGCTCCTTGGGAGAGACCTGAAGGGCCCGTAAAAGGAGCCGATGAAGCACCGGTGGCCAGTGCAGGCGCGGGCTGCCCAACGGGCGTCCAGGGCCCACCGTTGCCTATTTTAGTCGGCGGCGCGCGCGACATCGGCTTGGGCGCCGTAGGTGGCGGCACCTTGACGCCACCGATCGGTTGCTGCTGACCACCGCCGTAGCCCGACAGTGGGCTCGGCGACGACGACACAAACGAGGGTGGTCGCGACGAAGCTGGGCTCGAGACGGGCGAGTATGGGGATGCGGATGGGGACGAGGGCCGGAAGGGCCCTCCCGGAGGGGCACCGAGTGGCTGGCCACCACCGCCCCACTTAGGGGTCGACGGAGCCGCTGTCACCCTCTGAGTGCCCGGAGGAGGCCGATAAGTAGGAACGCTCGGCATGGCGTTCGACTCGAGAACGTTGCCGACGTGAGTGGGACCGCCGGCCTGTGCAGGCGGCCAGGTGAACTTGGCGCCTCCTTGGCGGCCGACACGGCAGCGGTGGCCAGCCGCATATGCAGCGAGGGCGTGGTGGCGTCGCAGATAGGCGGGAGACGGGGAGATAAAAACCAGGAAGGCAAGGACAGAGATAGAGAGGAAGAGAGGAACAGAAAGAAAAGACATGAAAGACGAACGAAAGAAGACAGGCCAGAAACAGCAAGCACGCTGGCGTAGCGTAGAAATGTATGTATGGCCGAGCACTTGGAACTATTTACACTCGAAAATCTGTAGCAGTCAGCCACTACGTAATACAGGATTCTTTGTCTTCTTTATTTATTTCCAGAAAAAAGATAATGTACCAAAAAATCTCGCGCATAGAACTGAGCCCACCTGTTCAGGAACCCCAATTTTATTGAAAATACTTTTCTCGCTTTGTTTGGAGTGCACGGTGTGGATTTCATTCATCTTGATGAAAGTCCTGTCATCTCGTTTGCCATAGAACATTCATATATCTTGCTTGTATTGCATGGCGCAAGTGATTTTCGTTTCGATGTAAAGATTGTGCTTTGGTCTCATTCAGAGCCAACGTTTCGTATTCAACAATTAAACTTTACTCAACAGCCCTAAGGCGAAACTCCCGGTGTTTTTTTTCTGTAAGTACTATTTGCCATTGGTTTCGCGAATGGTATTCGTTGATGATACTTCCAGCAGCGCAATTTCATGGGTGAATTTTTATCCCTTAAAGAAAAGCTTGCGTAAGAAGACTTCTTTCTTTTCCTTTTGCATAGAAAATGCTATAGCAGGGACATCACTTTTTGTACGTTAATCGGACGGGAACCGGAGCATTCAGCATTCATGAATGGGACTTCTTGACGTGCTTTTGAGGCAAGGTTTTATAGTTTGCGCACAATATGCGGCATTCAGCTCTTCACTTTTCATACTCGTACTTGAGGAGCATAGTTGACGTTTAAGTAGCTCGGCTTATTATTCGGTCCCCTATGGTGCATTAGTTCTGTAATGATCGATAAACTTAAATGTGTGCTTTCTCAGACTACCCTGGTGGCTCAGGAGTTTCATTTCATTGCTTGGAGTCCAATTTCGGGCCATTTTTTTAGACTACGGTTGCTCCAGTTTTTCGGAACCGTTTTATTCATGTATGACCTCGTAATTGACGCACGATTTTGAAAAGCAAGTGTTCCGTAAAAGAGATTATTTGGCTCACAGTGTATTGAAGATAAAAACTGCCTTTAGTTTCTACTTTTGTTTTTTGCACGCCAGGCGCCCAGTATTCCGCATGCCTGTGAGCGCTTTACGCGTTTCTAGACAACTGGAGATTGCATAAAGGGCGCATTCGCTCTTAATGCTTCTTTTTTACAGAGCCTCTCTACTAAAACACCGTTCAAATCTCCGCGACTTTGCTGAATGAGGCTAAATATGGCTCGTACTTGAGAAAGTCACGGTGGTTGCGTTACTAAAATGTTACGTCACAGTGATCGAAGACGTACTTCGCAAATACAAATGCTATAAAGGCGTCTGTATAGTGTTGCAGAGGCACATAAGAGCGGCCATCGATTTCAAAAGGAGTGTAAGGCAGACTTCGCAGTTGGCGAGTGAATGCCCTGTATTGAAGCCATTTTAACACCTCAGAAAGCGCCGCGTTGCGGTTTTTAGAATACGTTCGCGGTAGAACTTGGATTACATCTTCTGTGGATAGTGCTAATGGTCGGTCTATCAAATTCTTAGACGTGTTGAAGTTGTAGGCATTGACTTACTACGTCGTAGTTAGCGTTAAAGTGCAATGAGGACTCAAGTATCTGTCGCCTTTCAGTATGATGCTCACTTCAACTAATTTTCAGTGCCAGTTCAAATCAAGTACTTTTGCCGAAATTTTAGGATAACGTCAATTACTTGCTCTCAATTTTGTCAGTACAGTAAAAATTAATAAAAATATTCAACGAACCAAGCTGTTGTGCTGTGATTTCGCTACACGACCTGGAAGACTAGTGAAGTACTGCAGAGGGAGAGACAATTTCAGCGGTGTTTAAAGCAGTAAAGAGTGGCTACGATAAACTAGTGCATCAGCAGTACCTAGTTCTTTCATAATTACAGTTACATAACAGTATACCCCACCAAACGGACATTCTATGATGCACACATACAATTCAACTAGAAGTTGGCTCACCTGTACATAGACTACTCAAACGAGTGTCGACGAGATATTTTTAGACTTATCACATATGCACAGTATGTGTGCAAGTCATTCTGTGTGTGTGTGCGTGCTTGCGTGCGTGTGCGTGCGTGCGCGCGCGCGCGCGCGCGCGCGTGTGTGTGTGTGTGTGTGTGTGTGTGTGTGTGTGTGTGTGTGTGTGTGTGTGTGTGTGTGTGTGTGTGTGAGTGTGTGTGTGAATAACCTCAAAAAAGCTTCTTGGAAGGATATATCAATGGAGGGTACTGTAGCAGGTTTAATGATTAAACTTATTTCATTCATGGTTCGGTGAAACTTTCTTACGCACTGAAGGATGAATTTATTGCAGTATTGTAAACGTGCACCCTTTGTTTACCGATGACTGTTTCTTAACAAGTGTACAGTTTCAGGCACATTAGACACAATATGCGGTTAGATGTGCGCTTACTGGAGTACCGGAAATCGCGTTCGAAAGCAGTCTGCTTTCGCATGCGCCATTTGAACTAATGGGAGAACACACACATAAAGGACATGCAACTACATGCAATGCACGAAAGTACGGAGTGTCACCAGAAATTCGATGCTAATAAATATAAAAAATAGTCGTAAGCACTGTAGGTCAGTACAATGCACTTATTTCTGCAAATGCACTTATTTCTGCAAATTGCACCCAAATGGTGCAATTCGAAATTTTCTTCTTGATCACTGTCTTATGTTGACTGACTACTCATGGGGATCGTAACACGTGTCTGCGATATGAAAATTTAAATATGTACGCTGCAATGCAACTGCAAGTTTTCTCGAATAAGCTTTAGGCATCTAAGCTTTAGGCATCTAAGGTCCGTTTTATTTTTTCAAACAAAAACGAAAGCAGCTGGTTTCGCTTATACATGCACTTGGGGGGTGAGACTTGAGCGAGTTCTGTGCCCCCCAAGTATTCGTGGTGGTGGTGGTATTGGTGGTGAAATCATAGAGTTTCTTACTATACACAAGAGGGAGCTCTGGCGTTAGTGTCTATAAGAGCTGACGCACGGCACTCCAGCGAGCATGGGAATGATGGGTAGTACACGTATTTATCTTATCTTCGTACTTATGGCCTGCTTCTGGCTCCCTGTGTGTTCGTGTGGCTTGGGGCTGTTTTCTCAAAAAACAAAAATCAGCAAATGTTCAGCGTTTTCACTTTACCACCTTATTCTTTTAGGCTTCCGATTTCGAATCGGGTCACGAAGTTCAAAAGGGTTCGTTCTTTCCTTCAAAATGCCCCACCGTGGTGGTCTAGTGGCTAAGGTACTCGGCTGCTTCCCCGCAGGTCGGCTGTGGCAGCTGCATTTTCGATGGAGGCGAAAAAGCTGTAGGCCCGTGTGCTCAGATTTGGGTGCACGTTAAAATACCTCACGTGGTCAAAATTTCTGGAGCCCTCCGCTACGGCGTCTCTCATAATCATATGGCGGTTTTAGAACGTTAAACCCCACATATCAAACCTTTCCTCCAATACAAAACCGTAACCAGCAATAAACGAAACCGTAAGTACGATTCATCTCCCGCAAGTACGAAGACTAGGGAAATCCGTGCACTACCCTTCATTTTTATGGCCGTTGAACGATCGCAGTGCCGGAGTCCCCTCTAGTTAAATTTAGGAACCTTTATGGTTACAATAGGCGGGGTTATAGCCTGGCCTAAATGACCGGCAAATGTTCCTCCTGAGAATCTCTCGATTAAGAGCGGTTCGTCACCAAATGTTACACAACCCTGTGTCTCGCAAGAAAGTATCAGAATACTGTGCACGCTCCTCGCTTCTCCTCGTTGCCATGAGCCCTTCCACAAAAATGAAATGTTCAACAGTCCCGTTCCTGTGACAACTTTTTTGCAGGCTGCGTATTATCGCTGCTCATTGCTCTCAAAACGAGGGCACAGCCAGATAAAATGTTCAATGTCATTGATATCACTACAGAAGACACAATACGGCAAAGCGCCTCACCCAGTCTTGGAAGACCAAGCTGGCGTGTATGCCGAATCAGTCCTTATCCGGTGAAGAAGCATTCTTTGTTTTCTAGGAAGTGCGTGGATTAAGCATAACTGATGGGAAAGCTTGTGAATCACCCTGAATTGATTGTGTATTGTTCGAGTAAGATTTAGAAGCTCTCATTTTTGAAACAGAAGTCGGCGCTTTGCGTGAAAGCGCATCAGCTTTATCGTTGCCTTCAATTCTAATGTGTGATAAGATTCTTTGAAACCATACATTGAAGCTCTTGCCGATCAGGTTTTTGATAATCACCAGAACTTTTCTTGTGAGTATTTCAATTTTACAGCAGTCGCTGCAATGCCGACTGTGAGTCCATCAGCACTACTACATATCGTCGTGCAGGAACAGATCGCAACATTCGGAAAGCCGTGGTGATTGCAGCGCTTTCTACTGTTGTGGTCGACACAACACGATCCAGGCGGCCTGACCATGACACGCCCAGGCAGAGTATGCAAAAAACCGCTGCACAGTTATCCGATTACGTGCACACCGATCCGTCGGTGCACACTTGTAGATGGCCAAGGTACAGGGTGTTCGAATGGTCCAACACAAGCAAATTTGCTTCCGCAGCTTGAACGGCGCATTTCGCCGGCAGTTTAGGAACACTGAAAGTACAGGCTACCCTCACAAAAGACCAAGGCGGGTTGATAGGGCTCCAGTGAGGCAATTTCAAGCCTAAATTTCAAAAATGTGTTTAGTACCATGTAGAAATGTGAGTCATTTCTTGCTCTTAGCTGCCTAAGCAGCACCGTGCCAGCGAAGGAATCGCCCAGTCTTGATAGCTGCATCAGCAAAGCCTGAGATGCCAAAAGGTGGTGTGGTGTAGATTC